AATAGAATCCATGAGAGGCCTTCAATAGAATCCATGAGAAGCCTTCAGTAGAATGCGTGAGAGACCTTCAACAGAAACAGTCCAAAGAATATTTGAGTTGACCCCCTGATGATGGCGCTGAGGATGGACAAGTGTCATGTGACGGAGAGGGTATTGGACTTCACCCTGGAGATTATATGCCTGCTGACTGGAGAGGTGAGGAGGATTCTGGGAGGTCACATGACATCACTCTTATCTCTATTCGTAACACACAGACCTGACCGGAGAGGTGAGGAGGATTCTGTGAGAGTCTCACAATATACATAACTATATTGATAGAACACATACTTGACCACAGAGGGTGAGGAGTTTTTGAGAGGGTCACTTGACATAACCACAGACCTGACCAGGGAAGTCAGGAGTTGTCTTGGAGGGTCACATGACATTGCTCTCAGCTCTCGTAATAAGACGGTGACCTGGCCAGACGGGTGAGGAACCTTGACGTGTTACATTTAGGTAACTGATGCTTTTTCCATGCAGAGCTTTCCGCCTTTGAAGTCTGGTGACCGTATGACCATCACCGTTCCTCCACCTCGCTTTCTGGTTCCAGTGAAGAATATCACTGAGAAGATTCTAGAAGTCACCCAGAGGATCACCGAGCTGCTGACGGGAGAGGTGAGCGGTGCCGGGAATTCTGGGACATGATCCGGGAACAGACAAGGGGCGTGTCTGGGTGGTGACGGGAGAGGTGGGCGGTGCCGGGGATTCTGGGACATGATCCAGGAACAGACGAGGGGCGTGTCTGGGTGGTGACGGGAGAGGGGAGCGGTGCCGGGGATTCTGGGACATGATCCAGGAACAGACGAGGGGCGTGTCTGGGTGGTGACGGGAGAGGGGAGCGGTGCCGGGGATTCTGGGACATGATCCAGGAACAGACGAGGGGCGTGTCTGGGTGGTGACGGGAGAGGGGAGCGGTGCCGGGGATTCTGGGACATGATCCAGGAACAGACGAGGGGCGTGTCTGGGTGGTGACGGGAGAGGGGAGCGGTGCCGGGGATTCTGGGACATGATCCAGGAACAGACGAGGGGCGTGTCTGGGTGGTGACGGGAGAGGGGAGCGGTGCCGGGGATTCTGGGACATGATCCAGGAACAGACGAGGGGCGTGTCTGGGTGGTGACGGGAGAGGGGAGCGGTGCCGGGGATTCTGGGACATGATCCAGGAACAGACGAGGGGCGTGTCTGGGTGGTGACGGGAGAGGGGAGCGGTGCCGGGGATTCTGGGACATGATCCAGGAACAGACGAGGGGCGTGTCTGGGTGGTGACGGGAGAGGGGAGCGGTGCCGGGGATTCTGGGACATGATCCAGGAACAGACGAGGGGCGTGTCTGGGTGGTGACGGGAGAGGGGAGCGGTGCCGGGGATTCTGGGACATGATCCAGGAACAGACGAGGGGCGTGTCTGGGTGGTGACGGGAGAGGGGAGCGGTGCCGGGGATTCTGGGACATGATCCAGGAACAGACGAGGGGCGTGTCTGGGTGGTGACGGGAGAGGGGAGCGGTGCCGGGGATTCTGGGACATGATCCAGGAACAGACGAGGGGCGTGTCTGGGTGGTGACGGGAGAGGGGAGCGGTGCCGGGGATTCTGGGACATGATCCAGGAACAGACGAGGGGCGTGTCTGGGTGGTGACGGGAGAGGGGAGCGGTGCCGGGGATTCTGGGACATGATCCAGGAACAGACGAGGGGCGTGTCTGGGTGGTGACGGGAGAGGGGAGCGGTGCCGGGGATTCTGGGACATGATCCAGGAACAGACAAGGGGTGTGTCTGGGTGGTGACTGTATCATTGTGTGTGTCAGGTTCCTATAAGGTGTCAGGATGTCTCTGTCTATCTCTCCATGGAAAACCGAAAGTTGGGACAGAATGGTCTCCTCAAGGACAACATGGAGAACGAGCCGCCCCTCACATCACCGGGTAAGAGGAGAGAGCAGTACGGAGGCTCCGCCTACATCCCCCATCATCTGATACACACATAGAAACAATGTATTCAGTCAGTGTGTGTGTTTCCTACAGATGGATCCAGTAAGAGGAACCCACCAGAGAGATGTCCCCGCCCCCTGTATTCCCGGGATCCCACCCAGGAAGATCTCACCATCCCCCGCCACGATCAGGTAGGGTGAAGCGTTAAACCCCATACGGTATGGCAGGAAGATGTACAAAGATCCTAAATCTAACAAATCTGTGTGTTTTGCAGAGTGGGAGCTTGACTATAGTGAAAGTGGAGAGCGAGGAGGAGGAAGAGGAGATGTATGCGGCGGGCTGTGATCGGTCACCAGAGGAGGTTGAGATGATGGTGACCATTAAAGAGGAGGACTTTCCTACAGCGATCAGCAGTGGTGGGTGATGGCTACTGGACCGGCCTACCTCCTGTTGCTTCTGACCTTTTACTGGTCCTGAGTAGAGCTGATTATAACATGACAAGTAGGGATGCACCGATATATCGCCCGCTGAAAACATCTTTCTGCCAATACAGCGGCGCATCCTATTCTCTCCTCCCCGCTGGGCGCCGCTCTGTGTCCCAGCGGGGGCGGAGAGAAACTGTCGCAGGCGGCCGAGCGCTGCAAGGATGGAGAGCGGGTGATCAGGAATCGCTGAGTGTTTGTAGATAATTGAGGACATGGTATGGTTACTATATCCTCAGTTATGAATGAATGGGAAGTGATCTCCATCACTTCCTGTCCATTCACGATTGTGGTTATAGTAAACACACTCTCTCCTCATGTTATGAATGATCAGGAACACTCAGTGTAGAGGATTCCTCTTCATTGATGACAGGGGCTGCAGAAAAAGAATGAGGGGTTCCTCGGCCGGAGTGAGGGGTCTGGGCCTCTCGGCCGGAGTGAGGGGTCTGGGCCTCTCGGCCGGAGTGAGGGGTCTGGGCCTCTCGGCCGGAGTGAGGGGTCTGGGCCTCTCGGCCGGAGTGAGGGGTCTGGGCCTCTCGGCCGGAGTGAGGGGTCTGGGCCTCTCGGCCGGAGTGAGGGGTCTGGGCCTCTCGGCCGGAGTGAGGGGTCTGGGCCTCTCGGCCGGAGTGAGGGGTCTGGGCCTCTCGGCCGGAGTGAGGGGTCTGGGCCTCTCGGCCGGAGTGAGGGGTCTGGGCCTCTCGGCCGGAGTGAGGGGTCTGGGCCTCTCGGCCGGAGTGAGGGGTCTGGGCCTCTCGGCCGGAGTGAGGGGTCTGGGCCTCTCGGCCGGAGTGAGGGGTCTGGGCCTCTCGGCCGGAGTGAGGGGTCTGGGCCTCTCGGCCGGAGTGAGGGGTCTGGGCCTCTCGGCCGGAGTGAGGGGTCTGGGCCTCTCGGCCGGAGTGAGGGGTCTGGGCCTCTCGGCCGGAGTGAGGGGTCTGGGCCTCTCGGCCGGAGTGAGGGGTCTGGGCCTCTCGGCCGGAGTGAGGGGTCTGGGCCTCTCGGCCGGAGTGAGGGGTCTGGGCCTCTCGGCCGGAGTGAGGGGTCTGGGCCTCTCGGCCGGAGTGAGGGGTCTGGGCCTCTCGGCCGGAGTGAGGGGTCTGGGCCTCTCGGCCGGAGTGAGGGGTCTGGGCCTCTCGGCCGGAGTGAGGGGTCTGGGCCTCTCGGCCGGAGTGAGGGGTCTGGGCCTCTCGGCCGGAGTGAGGGGTCTGGGCCTCTCGGCCGGAGTGAGGGGTCTGGGCCTCTCGGCCGGAGTGAGGGGTCTGGGCCTCTCGGCCGGAGTGAGGGGTCTGGGCCTCTCGGCCGGAGTGAGGGGTCTGGGCCTCTCGGCCGGAGTGAGGGGTCTGGGCCTCTCGGCCGGAGTGAGGGGTCTGGGCCTCTCGGCCGGAGTGAGGGGTCTGGGCCTCTCGGCCGGAGTGAGGGGTCTGGGCCTCTCGGCCGGAGTGAGGGGTCTGGGCCTCTCGGCCGGAGTGAGGGGTCTGGGCCTCTCGGCCGGAGTGAGGGGTCTGGGCCTCTCGGCCGGAGTGAGGGGTCTGGGCCTCTCGGCCGGAGTGAGGGGTCTGGGCCTCTCGGCCGGAGTGAGGGGTCTGGGCCTCTCGGCCGGAGTGAGGGGTCTGGGCCTCTCGGCCGGAGTGAGGGGTCTGGGCCTCTCGGCCGGAGTGAGGGGTCTGGGCCTCTCGGCCGGAGTGAGGGGTCTGGGCCTCTCGGCCGGAGTGAGGGGTCTGGGCCTCTCGGCCGGAGTGAGGGGTCTGGGCCTCTCGGCCGGAGTGAGGGGTCTGGGCCTCTCGGCCGGAGTGAGGGGTCTGGGCCTCTCGGCCGGAGTGAGGGGTCTGGGCCTCTCGGCCGGAGTGAGGGGTCTGGGCCTCTCGGCCGGAGTGAGGGGTCTGGGCCTCTCGGCCGGAGTGAGGGGTCTAAGCCTGATTTTTTTTTTTTTTTCCATTTTCTTTTTTAAATTTTTGAGGGATGCACGATGAACATTGCCAACCGTATCGGTAGAGTGACCATGTTCTACATATCCATACAGCTCATAGTGCTAAAGGTCAGCTTGGAGAAGGGGGGGCGGCTAAGGCTACGTGTAGGCCGGAATTTCAAGATGGTTGGCTTAGGTCCTAGGTCAGTGCTAGGATGTTGCTGCATGGCATATAGGAGGTGCGGGAAATGTTACAATAGTATCAATGTGTGAGAAGAGATGGAGAGCTTTGGATAGTTATGGGGGAGGGCGGATGAAGGGAAGGCATGGCAGGATAAGGAGGGGGAGTGGAGAGCAGAAGCCGGAAGGGTGTACAGTCTTCTAATACGGGTTCCCCTTTCATGTTTTTAGAAGATGGTCCCGAGGAAACGCCTGGAGGTCGTCCCACTTCATCTCCGGCCTGTAAAACGGAAGCTGTGGACTCGCCGTGCGACTCTCTAGGTGACAACTCGGTGACCCCAAGTGTTCGTTCAGGTTGTCACAGCGCAGACCCATCACCGGATCCCTCAAACCCCAACCAATCACGCCCCAGGAACTGGGCCGGTGCTGACGAAGCTGATGAGACTTTTTTATGCACCGCATGTGACCGACGTTTCACAATGAAGTCAACGTTTTCCGAACACCTAAAAATTCACGCGGACGAGCCGCCTTTTGGATGCCCCGCGTGCGAGAGACGGTTCGCCCGTAAAGCGCATCTCATCAGGCACCAGGCCTCCCACGTGGCAAAGCCCTCCTTCCAGTGTTCCAAGTGCGAGAAATGTTTTCTGCGCAACGCCGACTTCGTCAGACACGCGAAGACTCACTCAGGCGAGAAGCCCTTTTCGTGCGCCCAGTGCGGGAAGTGTTTTGGGGAGAAAGGCACCCTGGCGAAGCATCAGCTCACCCACACCGGCGTCAAGCCGTTCATCTGCAGTCACTGCGGGAAGAGTTTCGTGGGGAAATCCTACTTTCTGAAACACCAGAGCATGCACGCGGGCGAGCGCCCCTTTCCGTGCCCCGAGTGCAGCAAATGTTTCGTCTCGAAATCCCAACTGGGAGCCCACCAGAGGATTCATTCGGAGGTCAGGCCGTATTCATGCTCGGAGTGCGGGAAGGGCTTCATGTTTAAGTGTAATTTAGTTGTCCATCTGCGAGGCCACACCGGCGACCTGCCTTACACCTGCTCCGAGTGCGGGAAGTGTTTTTCCAAGAAGGCGATCCTGGACAGGCATTTCAGAGGGCACACGGGAGAAAAGCCGCATTCCTGTGCGGAGTGTGGGAAAAGATACACGGAAAGAAGAAAGTTAGAACGACATCAAGCGGAGCACTCTGGGATCAAGCCTTTTCAATGCTCGCAATGTGAAAAGACCTTTCTCTTTAAGCCGGATTTAACGGCGCACGAGAAGACGCACTCCAGCGAGCGTCCGTTCTCCTGCTCAGAGTGCGGGAAAAGATACAGGAAGAAGTCCGACCTTAGAGCTCATCTTCAGACCCACACCGGAGAGAAAGTGTTTGCGTGTTCCGAATGCGGGGATCCCTTTCCTCGGAAACGCAGTCTCCTCAGTCATATGAAGAGCCACGTCGGGGAGAAGCCTTTTCTGTGTTCGTCGTGTGGGAAATGCTTTGTGGAGAATTGGGACTTGATCGCGCACCAGGAAACTCACTTTGCCGAACTGCCCTTCCCGTGCCCCGACTGCGGCAAGCGCTTCAAGAAGAAATGGTTCCTCACCGAGCACCAACGGACTCACACGGGCGAAAAGCCCTTCGCGTGCTCGGAATGCCACTATCGTACTTCGTGGAAATCCGACCTTCAGAAGCACCTCAGGACGCACACAGGGGTGCCGTACGTATGTCAGGAGTGCGGGAAAAGCTTCTCCACGGAATACTCTCACAGCGTACATCGGAGGGATTGCCATAGTTGACTGGCTGGCTTCAGGTGGTACTGGCCAGCTCCTGTTTGACCCGTTGCTGTGGAGGCTGCCCTGCGGGTGTTGATGGCGGGAGCACAGTTTGGAGTCTTCCTTGGAGGGGTTTCTGAGGCACCACAGCAGGAGCTCAGTTATTGTCTGATGCATGGTGTTTTTGTTTTTTGTCTTTGTATGGTTACTAACAGTGTTCAATAAAGTTTATAAAATGACTCTTGGCCCGTGCTCCTCTTTATGATCGTATAAAGGATCCGAGGGCTACAAATTTATACCCAGTCCAGGAAACGTTTATGTATCTTGGCAACAGGTCCGAGGATGCAGATAACCTGATTCTGGGACTCAAAACTAACCCC